ATTTGAGTTGGCTTTCGAAGCTGAGAAATCTCATCTTCTTGCTGACACTTTTGTCATTTGAGTTGGCTTCCTTGCTTGCATTCTCTGATAATTGATGCATCTGCTTCTCTCCCTTTTTTTTTGTTATCTATTTTTTTCTTTTGTTGCTGATGAAGCTTCATCATTGTCACTGAGTTTGCTGACTTCTTTGTTGGTGAAAACCAATTTGTTGACTTCTTTATCATTAACGGGTCGGCATGTCTCATGTCTCAGAGCTTTTGACATACGTGAGCTGCTTTTCCTTTTTTTTTGGGCTGATACTTTCCCATCCAAGAAAAAAAAGTGTGATCCCTTCTTGTTTGGGTTATGAGAAAGATCATCAGTTGGCTGTTTTTGACGGTGGGCTAAACACCCCAGCCTTGATTTATTATTTTCACTCTGCCAGCAAATAGATATTTTCTGTGGTTTCAATTAGAGAGTGCCAAAATGGTGCTTTTGTCTTGTGGCACTTTTTTTCCTTATTGCACAGCATATCATGGCTCCACAATTTGAACGAAAGCCAACATTTTTTTGGTTTGGGAAATTGCTTGCCCTCGTCTTTCACTGCCTCGACACATGGAACACCATCTTTTCTGCAGCTTGGGCATAGAATATTTTTTAAGGGTATTTCACCCGTATATGCTTCATCCCTATATTTGATTCATGGGGTTTTTTTTAATCAAAAATAGATTTATCATCAAATGGAAATTTATGAGTTTTCCACCCATGATAAATTTATCATCCAATAATTTCGGAGTTACTCACCCATAAGATAAATTTTAGGGTTTCTCACCCAATAATGGATTTCATATCCAATGATTTTTTGGGTTGCTCACCTATGGATTTGTATCCAATGATTTCAGCGTTACTCACCCATGGATTTGCATTCAAGAAATTTGATTCAAGGGTTGCCACCCACATGGATTGCCATCCATTTGATTGATTAAAGGATTACCACCCAACATAGATGACCTCAAGAGAGGAGCTTTGTTGCAGATGCATCTTTGATTGTTTTTGTCTTTTTTTCCTCCCCAACCTTTCGGCTGTTCTTCTCTACCTTTGTGGCCTTGCGAGCGCTTTTTTTTTTTTTACTTTTTTTTTTTTTTTTTCTTCTTTTGTCCCCTCTCCCTTCCTCCCCTTCTCTTTCTTACTGTCTTTATATTGATCACCCATGATAGAATGTTTTAAGTTGAAAACATGATGATAAGCTGAGCCTCAAAAACGGAACTACCAATCTCCTATGGGAGTGCCCACTATTGGTCAAACTCTCCTCTTTTTCTTTTTTGAATTTCCTTCCTTTATCTGATCAGCAAGTTTGTTTTGTTTTGAGCACTTATCAACTTAGATTAGATACGGTTTGTTGGACCTGGGATTTGACCAATACAACCCCTGGAAATTTTTTTGGTTCAATAGAAGGGAACAAGATAATCTTTGATGATGTTAAAGTTGATGAGATTTATCAGTAATCCTTATGCGCATCTATTTCGTCAATTTTCTAATGTGGCTGGTTGATTAGTTGTGTAATGTAAATTTGTAATGCAGTCGCTTTGTAATGTAACTAGGGCAATCACTGGTAGACAAGAAACTCAAGAAAATAACTAGATAAGTGCCTTGAGGAATCAAACCCCAAACCATAGGCCTGACCAGGTAGTAGAGGGTAGACATTTGATTCAGAAAATATGGGAATAAATCGACATTAGAAACTGGCTTCATAAGAAAAGAAACAATGATGATAAATTTATCTATTTCGTTGTCTGATTGATGATCCATTACACTTGATTAATTATGTATTTCTTTTTTATTTTGGTTAAAATATGATTGCATAAGGTACCTGGTAGTAAGTGCAAATTAAGTTTTGTTAATAACAGTCTCAAATTAGCATGTATTCAAACATTATGCATTGGAGATATTTTATTATATGTTTTCTACACTTACCTTAGCCCATACTAATATGATTTTCATGGTAATATGTGCATTATATGAAGTCTTGAGGTAATTATAGGTATATATATATGCACACATCATTAGAATACCCAGAAACATATTTGTATTTGAGTTGCAGTATACGTTTTCTACAAGCTAATTGCTACATTATTAGTGAACCATAAATTTTTGGTTTGCTTCAATAGTCTTGGGAATATAAAGCTCATTCAAGTATATCAAGTATATTGTATTGTTTGACATGTGTTATGAAAATTTAGATACATTTACCATGTTAATTGAAGGAAAACCTTAATGCACTATCATCAATCAAACCCTTACTGAAAATATCCATTTCTAAAAAAATAAATATCTATATGTTCTAACGTTTGTTCATCTTGTATTTGTATAAGAATTCTTTCAGGAAATGGAATCCAACGTACAGCTAGTATGACCATAATCAAAGACATATGTATCATGGGTGAATAACTTCTCACACGCGAATTCATACATAGCTAAAATTTAAGCGAAGTTGACGAAGAACAATTAGAGCAATTCAACAAGTTATGCTTTGGTCATCTTGCGAATATTGATAAGATTCAGTTTAGTGGGCAAATTGTGCATGGGATTGTCATGCGTCGAGTCGCCGGTCGAAGTGTGAAAGACTTGAATAGACTGAGTTTCTTAATAGGGTGCGACATTGCTCTCCACCATACTCAGTACAATCCTAACAAATGGTCTAACCGATTGTTCATATACTATATTCCCCATCTCCGATGGGTTATTTTAGTTTTTGGTTGAAAAGCACTTTTAATACGAAAATGGAGAAGGGAGGAGATAGCACAAACTACTGCTTCACAACCAAACAAACCAAGGAATTGTTGGCTGAACAATAGGAAATATGAATTTGAAGATAATAATAATTCACAACAGAATTGTAATAATCAAATACAATAGCAAATTTACATGAAATTAATGTAAATTGTTTATACCAAAATGAACACCCAATGAACATCAACCACGTGGACTATTCCAGGGCTACGTGTGCCTTCGGCACTCGCCTTCGGTACTGCACCTACCGATCACAACATTAGGGCAACCTTGCCCACTCTGGCACGTGGCAGCTCCACGATTGACGCCCAGAGTCCCACATCGAAACTCTAAACAAATTGCACACCTCCCAAGGCCTATAAAAGAGGACACCTATCCCAGCCTGAAGGTAATCAATCAGAACTTACGGCATACTGCCTATTGATCTGAAGTTAAAACTTGCTAAATCCGTACTTACTTAAGCATCGGAGAGCCTTCGGCCGGTACCACACCGGTGCCCTAGGATTTACCTTGTGTTTGCTATCTTACAGATCGCACACCCTACCGAGGACATCAGATACCGAAGAGACTTAATCACTAAGTTGCGCGGGAAAGTGCAGAACCATTTTTCTGCGTCAACAGTTTGGCGCCGTCTGTGGGAAACGATAAAACCAACCTGCAATTCCTAAACAAAACAAATGGGGACCACTTCAGGACAACAGTTCCTATCAGAGGATGGATTACCGTACGGTATGCCAAGTGGAGCAAGCCCCGCGCTGCACCCTAGCACTCCCTTCGGTAATCCACCTGCGCTTCAGACCACGGTCGAAGCGGAGCTTTTGGCTCAGATGACCTCCCTCCGAAAGGAGATGGCTAAACTCCAAGAACGTAACAATCTCCTCTCGTCCAAAGTGGACGAAACCCAACGGTTGCTTAATCAGCAGGAAACGCAAAACGTTCGAAGCACCGAATCTTCCCAGAGTCAGCAGACCCCCGGTCGGCAGAGGAAGGGAAAACAGGGGGCAAAGGCAACGCCTGCGCCTTCCAAGCAGCTGGTAGTCCCGGCACCCCAGGACCAACCGCACGTACCGAAGAAGGTATACACCGACTGTCGTCATCGGATCAACAACAAGAAGGATGCCGAACGACATAGGTCCCCAATCAGACTAAACGCCAACTTGAGGGACTCCCGGATGAGGGTCTTGGGGGATAAGTCGCCCCTTCGGAAGGCTCAGGGTTTGGATTCGGCGCAGGAATCCGACGATGAGTACATCCCCACCAGGGACACCGAATCGAGCTACCGTTCGGAAGCTCCCCCGGAGTATTCGAAGGCGAGATCACCAAGTCCAAGGAAAGCTTCCGAGGACTTTGGTTCCGAGGACGTCCCCAGCCGAGACCCCACCATCCGATTACTTTTCCAAAGAATCCAGAAGATGGAGGAAGACCGAACCCGATCCCAGGTCCCTGACTGGGGAAAACTTCGACCCGGGCCCTTTACCGAGCGCATCAAGAGGTCCAGACCGGACAGGGAGGTGCAGCCGTTGCGCATACCCTTCTATACCGGTGTGGAGGACCCTCTGACGCACCTCCACTCTTTCCAATCGGCAGTTGGATGTAAGGACCTTAGCGACGAGGGACAATGCCTGCTGTTCCCCTCGTCCCTTACCGGAGCTGCGCTGAACTGGTTCTACCGTCTCGAGCCAGGGACGGTACATTCCTTTGACGAACTGAAGCAGATTTTCCTCAACCACTTCATGATCCAGACGGACCGGTTGTACTCTGCCGACGACCTGTACACGATTCGGCAAAGGGAGGACGAACCCCTACGGGAATACGCAGCGCGCTTCAGTCACGAGTACTCAAGGTGTCCCGAGACGGACGATAGGGCAGCCTACGGCGCTTTCAAGAGTGGCCTACGGTCCTCTCACTTCCGGTATCTCGTGCACAGTAGCAACTGGCGCACGTATGACGAGTTAATGAAGCAGGCGGCAGTCCATGCGAAGGCCGAATACTTCAACTCCAAACCCGGGCCTTCGGCTCGGAAGGAGGAATCGGCAGCCAAAAGCTATCCAGGCCGAACCGACGAACCGTCGGCAGGACACAAACGGAAGGACGACCGGGATAACCGGTAGGGAAATTCAAAGAAAGGACGTGGGAAGTACGGTCGTAACGACCACCGGGCACCCCTACCGAATCACGATCGTGCTCAGGAAGTCTTCACCCTGCTGAACACGACGTACGAGACCGTTCTAATGAACGAACACGACCAGATCCCGAAGCCGACCAACCGGAAGCCCAATCGGCAGGATAATCGGGATACTGGCAAATTCTGCCGATATCACCAGCAGAACAGCCACAATACCGAAGACTGCATCAGTCTAAGGAAAATTGTCGAGCGCCTGATTCGGGAAGGGAAGTTGGATCAGTACCTTGCCAGGCCGCCACAGGCCCCGGCACCGAATGCGAATCGACAGATCAACATGATCAACACGATCAGCGGTGGCCCCACCCTGGCAGGACCCTCCAACCGCTCGGCGAAGCAGTATGTGCGTGCCGCCCACTGCCCTCAGGTCTTCGGCATAGCGGAGGATCGGTGCCGAAAGTTGTCAAAGGTGGGATGGGAGCCCATCACGTTCAGTGAAGAAGAGGAGGAGGGGATCATCTACCCCCACGACGACCCAATGATCATTCGGGCCGAGATCGCCGATTACGACGTGGGTCGGGTGCTGATTGACACCGGAAGCTCGGCGAACGTAATCTTTGCCGATGCGTTCAAGGGACTGGGGATTGCGGATAGCATGGTCAATCGGCAAATCACGCCTCTCCTCAGTTTCTCTGGGGATCTGGTACAACCGGTCGGTAGCATCAGTTTACCCATTGCCTTCGGCATGGCCCCCCGGAAGACCATGACCTATGACCAATTCCTCATTGTTGACTGCCCAACAGCATACAACGTCATCATAGGGCGAACGGCACTCACCAGGATCAAAGCCCACCTATCCACACACATGTTGCTGATGAAGTTCCCAACACGCAACGGTACCGGAGCCATCCGGGGAGATCAGCTCAGCGCACGGACGTGCTATGCCACGGCCCTTAAGTCGGTAGCCAGCAAACCGCCAATGGAGGCCATGACCTTGCAGGGACTACCGAACGGTAACGAACCCATTGACGACCCCCGGGAGGAAAACCCAACGCCAATGGCACAGCCCGCCGAAGAGCTGGAGACCATAATCCTGAACAAGGACTTCCCCGATCGGTGGGTGAAGATCGGCACCAATCTGGAACCCGACCTCCGAAGGCAGTTCATCGACTTCTTACGGCAGCATGCGGAAGTCTTCGCCTGGTCTTATGACGACATGCCCGGCATATCACCCGAAGTCATCAGCCACAAGCTCAGCATCTCCCCCGCCCACAAACCAGTCAGGCAAAAGCGCCGATCGTACGATGCCGAACGGTATGAGGCGATGCGAGCCGAAGTTGACAAGCTCAAAGCCATCGGCTTTGTTAGGGAGGCTACGTACCCTGTTTGGCTGGCCAACTCAGTCATGGTTCGGAAAGCCAGGGGAGGATGGCGAATGTGCCAGGATTATACCGACCTGAATAAGGCCTGTCCGAAGGTTAGTTTCCCCCTACCGAGGATCGACCAGCTCGTCGATGCCACCGCCGGGCACGAGCTGCTCAGCTTCATGGACGCGTATTCAGGATACAACCAGATCTTCATGGACCCTGCCGATAGAGAGCATACGGCATTCATCACAGATCGCGGTTTGTACTGTTACAACGTCATGCCCTTCGGCCTGAAGAACGCGGGGGCAACTTACCAACGGCTCGTCAACCGGATCTTCGCTAAATACATCGGCGGCATCATGGAGGTTTACGTTGACGACATGTTGGTAAAGAGCCGAACGGCGGGGGATCACCTTGAAAACTTGGCCCTCATGTTCGGTATTCTAAAGGACTACCGAATGCGGCTGAACCCGGCGAAGTGCGCCTTCGGTGTATCTTCCGGAAAATTTCTCGGTTTCATGATCAGTCAAAGGGGAATCGAGGCCAATCCCGAGAAAATAAAAGCCATAATCGACATGGAGACCCCGAAGACGCAGAAGGACATTCAGAGCCTTACCGGACGTGTCGCTGCCCTGACACGCTTCATCTCCAAGGCTACCGATAAATGCGTACTGTTCTTCAAAACTTTGAAAGGGGGCAAACATCATATAACATGGACTCCCGAATGCGACCAAGCATTTCAAAACTTGAAGAACTACATGAGCCAAGCACCATTGTTATCAAAACCACTGCCAGGCGAGGTACTACTCCTGTACCTTTCGGTATCCAGCACTGCCGTCAGCTCAGTGTTGATAAGGAAGCCAGAGAAGGCGGAGCTACCGATCTTCTATGTCAGCAAGGCGCTCCAGAGCGCAGAACTTCGGTACCCACCCTTGGAGCAGCTAGCACTGGCCCTGGTCGTCTCGTCACGAAGACTTCGCCCCTACTTCCAGGCTCACGAAATCACGGTTCTGACGAACCAGCCCCTTCGGCAGGTGCTCCAGAAGCCGGAAACATCTAGCCGATTGGTCAAATGGGCAATCGAGTTGGGAGAGTTTGACATACAGTTCAAACCAAGGCTTGCAGAAAAAGGCCAGGCCGTTGCCGACTTCATCTCCTAGCTCACACCGCCTGCTTTATCGGAACCATCATCGCCGAGCGTCGTCCCTACCGCACCAGAAAAAATGGATACCGAACGTTTCGACACTTCCGTTCCTCTCTGGATCCTGCACGTGGACGGCTCGGCAAACCAGCAAGGCTGTGGTGCCGGCTTAGTTCTAACCACTCCGGACGGTAGTAAAATCGAGTACGCCCTCCGATTCAACTTCCGAACCTCCAATAACGAGGCAGAATATGAGGCCCTCTTGGCCGGCCTTCGGCTAGCCCAGAGCATGAGCGCGAGGCAGATCAGCATTCACAGCGACTCCCAGCTCATAGTAAACCAGATAACGGCAGACTTCGCAGCGAAGGATGCCTCCATGTCAGCCTACCTATCGGCAGCCCACCAACTACTACAAAAGTTTCAGGCCTACGAGATACGGCAGATCCCCAGGTCGGAAAATAGCCATGCCGACGCACTCTCACGTTTGGCCTCGGCAATAAATGACAAGATCGGAAGGAAGGTACCGGTGGAGATACTATCCCAACCAAGTACAACCGCCGCTGAGGTATGTACCGTTCGGTACGAGGAGACCTGGATGTCTCCAATCTATGCCTATCTGACAGCCGGAACCCTTCCTGCCGATAAGTCGCAAGCTCGGAAACTTCGCTACCGTTCGGCAAGATACACAGTCATCAACAACATTCTGTACAAACGGGGCTACACGACGCCGTACTTAAAATGCCTGACCAAAGAGCAAGGGGACTACATCCTTCGGGAGGTCCACAGCGGAGTCTGCGGGGACCATTCTGGCTCCCGATCGCTCACACACAAGGTCTTCCGGCAGGGTTATTTCTGGCCGACTCTGCATCAGGATGCGAACACACTAGTCAAGAGGTGCAATAAATGCCAACGGTTCGGTAGCGTCCCTCACATTCCCGCCGAGCCACTGTCACCGATCGTGAGCCCATGGCCGTTCGCCCAATGGGGACTGGATCTAATCGGTCCGATGCCAGAGGGCAAGGGTCAGGTAAAATACGCTGTTGTTGCCGTAGACTACTTCACCAAATGGGTAGAAGCCAAGGAACTGGCGACAATAACGGCAGCCAGGGTCGAGGATTTCGTTTGGACAAATATTTGCTGCCGATTCGGCATCCCCTACGCCATCGTCACGGATAACGGCAGGCAGTTTGATTCGGAAGTCTTCCGGCAATTCTGCAAACGACTCAAGATCAACCTGTTCTTTGCTTCGCCAGCACACCCCCAATCGAACGGACAGGTCGAAGCCATGAACAAAATTGTCAAGAAGCTGTTGAAACGGCAGCTTGACAAAGCCAAAGGGGCATGGCCAGAAAAGCTTCCAGAAGCGCTATGGGCCATATGGACATCCTACCGAACGGCAACTGGGGAAACACCATTCTCCATGGCTTTCGGTTCAGAGGCAGTAGTCCCCGTAGAGATCGGAGAGCCCTCCTACCGAACGGAAACCTTCGCACCGAAGGCAAATGAGGAAGCGCTGGCCCTGAGCCTCGACTTACTCGAAGAGCGCCGAGCACAAGCCAACCTTTGGAACGAAGCTTACAAACAACGCGTCTCTCGGTACTATGACTCCAGGGTCAGATCCCGCTCTTTCCGAGTCGGAGATTGGGTCATGCGGAAAGTCTCCTTGGCAACCAAGAATCCCACGGAAGGAACCCTCGGACCTTCCTGGGAGGGACCCTACGAGATCATCGGTATCCAGCGATCGGGGACTTACCGACTCAGAGACTCCAATGGAAAGACCCTCGGTCACCCTTGGAACGTAGAGCATTTGAAGTACTACTTCAAATGAAGTCACCTTGCCTACGGCAGGTTCACGGAAGAGTCGCAAAAGCCTTCGGCATCTCTACAAGCACAGCTTCCGGCATTATAGCGTTACCAAGCCAACGGCGGGTTCTATATTGTAAAACGCGCTCATAATTGTAATCTCGCCTTCGGCAGTTTATCAATAAAAAGGGCCTTCGGCTCACATATTCGGCACCTTTGTTATATTTTTCAAATCTATCCATTTTTCGTTCAAAAAAAAAAAGGGTACGGTAGGGACCATCGGTCGCAGCTAACTACGCATTTTGGCATCGCCATTTTCCTACCGATTAAAAGACAACTTGGTTAACCTTACTGGACGTTATAGGCTTTCGGCAATTACTTGCCATTGCTTTACAATCGGAACCCCCCTGCGTAAAAGGAGAAGTCACTGGCCAACGGCAAGTGACCTTTGTTTAAAAACTTTCGGCATTAAACAGAAAAATTTCCTAAATACGCTACCGATTCAAAAGTAAGATGAACGAAAACATGAACTTTAATTAAAACATGCCTACGGCATTGATTATCCAAAACAAAAGATGCCAACGGCATCAGAGTTAGTACAAAATTACAAGAGGTACAGGAAATCAAAATTACATAGAGACAAGCGATCAGGAAGAAGGACCCACGGCATCCGCCCCTTCGGCATCAGCAGCTTCAGGCTCTTCCGGAGCATCTTCCCCCTCGTATTCTTCGATCATTTCTTCCGTAACGCCTTCGGGAAGGGGAGGAGGATCGGCAATAAAGTTCAAATTGAGCTTCGTCCCAGGATTATACCGCTTGAATCGGTAGATGAGATCCACCATCTCCGAGCCCACCTCCTTGTCGAGCAAGGTAGAGAATTCGGCAGAGTGGCGATACTTCCGAATGGCCTCCTGGACGGCAGCCTCAATCTCCGATGCTTTGGCACGCTCCGACTCCTCCAGAGCCACCGCAACGGCATCCTTTGCCTCCAGAGCCTCCTTGGCCGACAGTTGTGTCGACTCCATGGCAGACGACAGATCGGCGAACTTGGCCTCATACACCTTGACCTGCCGTTCGGCAGCTTGCAAATCCTTCACCAAGTTCGCATGGTCCTGGATAGCCTTGCCAGCCTCGGCAACCCTGGCCCTGCCGTCGTCGTAGGCCTTCTTCGCCTTCTCCGAGGCATTGATGGCCCGCTTCATGCAGAGCCACATGTCCATCGAAGCCTGCAGAACAACGAGCATGTCAGCAAAGATTCAAACATAATCGGTAACCTGGATCTGAGAGTGTTCTGGACTTACCGATGCTTGGAGACGGAAGGCGCGACCCGCCTCCTCCCGAAGGAGCCTCTTCGGCAGCTCCTCGATCTCGCTCAGTTCCATTTGCGAACCAATGATCATGTGGTTCGCGAACTGGACCGTCTTCGACGGACACGCAAGGGTGACGGGATCGGCAGGCTCCTCGTCATTTTCGGCGGCAAAGATGGCCCGAGTTGGCTCGGCCTGCCGTCCGCGTTTTGGGGCCGGTTCGGCATCTAGATCGACAGTAAAAGGCCGTTTGCCGGCCGCTCGGGAGGAAGCCCCTTCGGTAGTGGCGCCTCGGCGGGGAGAAGGGTCGGCCGCTATCGCTCTGGTCTGTGCCGATTCGGCGTTAAGCTCACGGAGGCGATCGGCCAGCGTCTGGTCCTCAGGGTCCACCGATGCCGAGCCCTGCGGCTGGGTTTTCTTCTTCTTCCCCTGGAAGCCCATCATGAGACGGCGTTTGGAGGATTCGTTCATCCTCTTGGCCTCGGCAGCTCTCCTGTCTTCCGTCACTGCGAGGAAAGGGTTCGGTAAGACCCGCAACAGAAAATAAGAAACAATTTTTATAACACCAAGTATACTTACTCTCGGCAGGATCGACCAGCTGGGCTCGGATCAGATTGGTGGTGAAGAGGAACTGCGGATATACCCTCTCCTCGGCAGGGACTTTCCTCCTCACCCTCTCCACTTGCTGAATCTCGGCCTGAGTTGCGATCGGCTGCTTCAGCTTACCTACAAAAAGAAGAGCAAAGAGGGGTTACTCACGGTAAAATGTATAACTGAGTTAAGGTACCGAACGGCACGTGGTCCTACCGGCCATTTGGAAGGTTGTGGGAATGCGAAATCGGACGGGCTGTCCCGAAGGCGACTCCCAGTCGCCCGAGAGGAGCACCCGCCGATTCCTCCACGACTTCTGTGAAGTCGGTACCCAGCTAACGAAATGGCCTCGATCGGCAGCCCTGAGGCAGTTCGCCTGCACCCATCCGCCATGATCGGCACACTTGGACTTGGTGACGCTGTACAGATGGGAGAACTGCTCGTAGGAGGGGCTCCCTTCGCCAGCCATACCGAAGGCCGTTATGACTCCCATGAGAGCCACCCAGAAGTTGGGGTTGAATTGCCCCGGGGCATAGCCGATTTGGGCTAGGATCCTCTGCACCGCCGGCTGCAACGGCAACCGAACGCCTTGCACAAGGACGTCGATAAAGAAAACTACTTCGCCGTCCTTCGGCGCGCTAAGGGATTCGGTAGGGCCCGGGATCCTCATCCGTACCGAGTCAGGAATGCGGTACTCTACTCGAAGCTTGGCAATCTCCCGATCGGTAATCTTGTTCGGCCCAAGATAGTCCACGCCGAATAGGTTTTCCTTCGGCACCCCCATGGGCACCCTAGGGTTGCTTGGGTACACCACCGATACCCTGGGTCCAGATGGCGGCCTGACTACCGACTCTCCACGCCCAGAAGTGGAGGGTTCCGATTGACGGCTACCGCTCGCCTCCCCGGGCATACCGAGGCCCACGTGGCGGCCGTCACTGTAGACAATGGACAATGGGACGGGAGCGGTCATTAGCCCCTTCCCGACTCCGTGTGTTGGAATGAAGCTGGGCCCTTCGCCGAGTATCTCGACGTCGGTATCACTCCCGCCCTCGGCATCAAGCCCTGCCGCTTCACCGTCGGAGTCAAAGAGACTGTCCGATGACTCCTCGTCGAAAGCGTTGGGCTCGCGCTCGGAATATGACTCGCTATCAGACATCTACAAAAACAGGAAGAAGGGAAACTAAGGCTCATGTCGGATGCTATCCTACCGATTCCTACATCGCTACCTATGGCGACTAGACTACCGAATGGAACCCTATGGTCAGTCTAGTTCGAACCAAGGAAGGACGTAACCCTAAAAACATGTAAAGAGAAGGGTGCCGAACGGTACCTTAAAGTGTGCCTTGGAAGATAAGCGCGATCTGCTCTTCGGGATGCTTCACCACCGTTCGCAATGCCGGGAATTGCCTTTCCTACCGTTCGAAACGCCGGAGATCGCCTTGTTACCGATAACACTCACCGGAAATCGCCTGTCTACCGAAAGCCCTCGTCGGAAATCGCCTCAGACAGAGCTCTCACTTCTCATAAGATGCAAAGTGAGTGCGCATCCGGGGTCATCCCTATTTATAGGGGAAATGGCTGGCAACGGTACTCCTCGAAAAACCAAACGGCGCATTAATGCGCCGCGCGCCATCATTACTTTCGCCACGTGTCACTCACCCAATGGAGAACTGACGGCACGCGAGGCGCGGAAGTCGAGGCGCTCAGACGTCTCTTCGCCCATCAGATCGACGCGACCTTCTGACTTCACCAACGTCAGCCTCTGAGCTGGTCATGCCGGAAGGAACAAGGTTTTGCCCCTCCCCCAATGGGGTTACCGAACGGTAAGGCCGTGTTTCCTCCCGAGGACGAATTCAAATCCCCTTCCGAAGACACTCGCAAGGGGACTTGGGGGACTCCTGTTTATACCAAAATGAACACCCAATGAACATCAACCACGTGGACTATTCCAGGGCTACGTGTGCCTTCGGCACTCGCCTTCGGTACTGCACCTACCGATCACAACATTAGGGCAACCTTGCCCACTCTGGCACGTGGCAGCTCCACGATTGACGCCCAGAGTCCCACATCGAAACTCTAAACAAATTGCACACCTCCCAAGGCCTATAAAAGAGGACACCTATCCCAGCCTGAAGGTAATCAATCAGAACTTACGGCATACTGCCTATTGATCTGCAGTTAAAACTTGCTAAATCCGTACTTACTTAAGCATCGGAGAGCCTTCGGCCGGTACCACACCGGTGCCCTAGGATTTACCGTGTGTTTGCTATCTTACAGATCGCACACCCTACCGAGGACATCAGATACCGAAGAGACTTAATCACTAAGTTGCGCGGGAAAGTGCAGAACCATTTTTCTGCGTCAACATAAATCAATAAACACAAGTAGAAATATTGACAACTTTAGCGATTGAGGCTTGCAAGAATTGCAATGTCCTAAAGACAGATTTCGCCCCTGCCCTTTGCAGTTCTATAGGCGTCCATCTCTCAAGATTCAACAATCGATATCCTAAATTGAAGCACTTCAATTTAAGACTTTGGCGAACCAATTATATATTTGTACTCTCAAGACACTTCGGAAGGAAACTTGAAGACTGATACTCTAACATAGCACGAGTGGAGAAAACTCCTTATCAACGCACCTTTGGAATGTCATATAGCTTAGGTTTATATAGAACCCAAGTGACTTTTTGGAATAGCAACGACGGTTGTTCACTAATTGACGCCACCCATGCAAAAGGGAGGATGCAACTTCTCTAATTGAATTGCATCAGGTTTGTACGCTATGCAATTTTTCATATTTAAACATAATAACTGTTTTCATTCACACATTAAAATTAAATATTATAATATATAATTTTCAACAATCCCCCACATGAATTTAAAAAAACTACGAAAAATTAAGAGTATTGGCGGAAAAGAGGTGCATCTAAAGAGGTGTCTTTTGGACTTGAACCTATCATAGTGAATACTATCGGATTTACTTGGCGACGCAGTGGATATAATGAACTTAAACTGTTCACCGCAGTAGTAAACCGAGACAATAGGAATCACACATCTCCAATCCTAATATATTATGGTTCATGCGGTTGTGTTCACTTTGGTCCTGAACAATTCTCGGATTCATGAGAGCTTTAGAGAACTTAGCTATCTCATTCTCATAGAAGCGACCCCACTTCTACTCTCACATAGGTGACACACTGATTAAGAACAGTTTGCTCTATTCTTCTTATTTACAAGATATCAGTATCATTAAACATAAGTACCCTTTATACTTCTGCAGACAACACACTTCTTCCATCATATGAATGAGGTCTAGTGTGTTAACAACTTTGAATCATGCCCAACCAGTTTGCCTATTGAACCTAGACCATGGGATCACCAATCAACTAGATTAGGTTTCTGCCAGGCTGATTCATTCAATATGTTGGCTTTAACCTCATTCCCCTTGATGCTCAACTCAATCTCTAGTCCAACCTTTTAAATTTTGGATCCACTAGATTGACTATAAACTGATGGGTGTGCACATTTCATCTTATGAAATTATATTCAGTTGAGAGTAGTTGTTTTCAAAAAATCCTCCATGCATTTTGTTGGGACTTACTAAGTAATTTGCCAACTCTTCAGTAGACTTCCCCCACATTTAAGGTATTTGTAGGATTAACCTTTCTATACCTTAAAATAAAAGTTACTCATCTCTTTCACTGAGCAAATTACATTTTCATTCTTAACTGAATATGAGATTACAAAGATAGTTAAGTCACCTTCACAATTCTCTTACAATTGTGGTTATCATTTGTGCAATTTTGCAATAGACTTCCACAATTAGTTTGATAAGTAATTACGTCTAATGACTGTTCGGAGAAATCGAAAATTCAATTCCCTTAACAGCACCTGCAGACTACAACACCATTTTGAATAGTCACGATCTTCTTCTTAACCGTATATACACCTACCCAGGTGAACATTAGTATCACAACTTTTCAGTTACACAAATCACTGATATATTCTGTCATATGTATAGTATACACGTCTCTTTATACAATTCGCAAAATAAATTTACAAATCCAATAAACTATATCATTGTGTTATCTCACAAACCACAGGACCATCTTCAAGCAAAACTGACCCTTATGGTCCATCAATTTTCCTATAGTAAAAATCGTTATGGATTCCTTCATCTGACAAATTTGCAATTTTTCTTTATGTAATCCAATATGCCAATTGCATATTTCGATATCAACCCAAAGGCTCATATATATATTCTAGTGGGCTGCGCCATTAATGTAACAACCCATCAAAATCGAAAGCAACTGACTACTTTCTCAACACCATATCCGTTTGTAATACGATTTCTCTTTCAATCGGAAATTGCAGCACTTCAGAATGAAGTGACAAAGCAATTTGTTTCTTCAATCTGAATCTATTGGGTGAATTGCCTCTCATGAGTCACAACCCACAGGTCAATTTGGCCTACTTCCTCTTCTGTTCTCATGTGGCACAAACCAATATACTGAAGACACCAAGCAATCATTAACTATAGCACGTTCATGACTCTGTTGAATAACACAAGTGTACAACAGTCGTAACTGTTCATTTGAAAACTTGTGTATTCAGTTTTTAGTTACTTTACTTTATGAAATATATAAATAAATAACAACTCTTCACTGCATTAATTAAGCCGTAGAACAAGAAAATCAGAAATGGATTCAACATGCAGAACCGGTTTATGTCCTTTCAAGTTGGACTGGTGGACAAAACAGTCATGCCACACTTCATGCCAACCAGCATATGCAAAACACTAATTAACGCTTTAAATCTGTTCATGCGAGAACAAGATCAGAGCATGCGTTCAACAACAGATTTAAAGGATAACATGCATGGATCTTAGTTCTAGATGAAACACAATGGCTCCCCTATTCTGTTGTATACTTAATATACATCACCCAGCATATCATCAACTAGCCCAATTCAATTGGATCAATTCTCTGTCTTTCGCATATTCATTTTTCTCATGTTCTATAAGTTTCTGTCTTTAGATTGTTGGTGGAGCAATAGGAAATATGAATTTGAAGATAATAATAATTCTCAACAGAATTGTAATAATAAAATACAATAGCAAATTTACATGAAATTAATGTAAATCAACAAACACAAGTAGAAATACTGACAACTTTAGCGATTGAGGCTTGTAAGAATTACAATGTCCTAAAGACAGATTTCGCCCCTGCCTTTGTGCTCGCAGTTCTATAGGCGTCCATCTCCCAAGATTCAACAATCAATAAAGCACTTTAATCTAAGACTCCGGCGAACCAATTTTATATTTGTACTCTCAAGACACTTAGGAAGGAAACTTGAAGACTGATACTCTAACATAGCACGAGTGGGGAAAACTCCTTATCAACACACCTCTGGAATGTCATATAGCTTAGGTTTATATAGAACCCAAGTGACTTTTTGGAATAGCAACGGTGGCTATTCACTAATTGACCCCACCCATGCAAAAGGGAGGATGCAACTTCTCTAATTGAATTGCATCAAGTTTGTATGCTATGCAATTTTTCATATTTAAACATAATAACAGTTTTCATTCACACATTAAAATTAAATATTATAATATTTAATAAATATTATAATATATTTCCAACATGAACTAAAGAAAAGCTAAAACACACCATTGGGTAACCCAAGAGGCGAGCATTCGTAAACATTCCAAAACCAAATTCTGACTAAAAACTACAAAAAGTTCATAACCACTTACTAGTAATGCACTTCCCAAGGTGAGTTGAGAAAAATTGGGCGAGTTGAGCAGATGTTGTCTAGACTGTACAACCAAGGCAGATCGAGAAAAAAATTGGATGAGTTTGCCCTCAAATCTCGTCCAAGCTCAACGAAGAGCCAGCTGTGTTTCATCGGGATTTGTCAAGCTTTGGGTCTTTGTTTCATTGGGATTTGTCAAGCTTTGGGTCTTTGTTACAACCCGACTGCAAATTAAGTTGCTCTGTTAATCCAACCGTCCAATTTTATTCAACGATTGCAATATGTCATCATTTAAGTCCCACAACTAAGGTTCCTCAAGAGAGACAAGCTCCACAAAGCCATCCTACTACTTTGCAATTGGTGTTTTTTTCAGGTCCGGTCCAATTTTTAGTTTACCCGATTTGTTTAAGTAAGAGAGTCCACTATTCTAGATAGAACCTCTCCTTTTTGTTTTTGTTTTTTTTTCTTGAAAATAAAGGGAAAAACAATTTTTGAAATTGATCTGATGAAAGGTAAGGCTTGCAAGGAAAGTAATCCTGTTTCCTAATTTCCTAGTTGTGGTCCCTACAACTCTATTATGCGAACACTTGTTCAAAAGTCGGATCCTAAAATGGCGTGGTTCGCATATGCAAGCAAGCAGCAGAATAAACTTACGGAGCATGTGTTGTAATTGACCGGCGAGCAAGAGTAGGTGGATGTAGACATGAGATGCATGTGACTAAGCAAAAGCACGGCATTCCATTTATGACAATCTTAGGCTCTCTCTCTCTCTCTCTCTCTCTCTCTCCTTTTTCTTTTGCCTTTCTGGGGTTCGATTTGTTGTATATATGCGCGCTCCATTTCCTCCAGCTCGAGTGAGGAAGATAGAATTAGTCGTTGGCTTTTTTCTTTTTTTGGGATGATCTCTATTCCTTCTATCTACACATAATTCCATAAAAACACAAAAAGTTATGTGGATTCTGGTCCTTCACGTGACACTATTACATATCACATGCACTTTGACTTTACGTCTTTACTTTCTAAAATAAGGTATTTGTTTACAATGTAGTAGAAATATTCTTTTTTCCATGCCCCTTTCACTCTCAATTAGCAAAACTTAGATAAAGGAATATATAATACAATTAAGATGGACTAAGACCTTATTAATATAAAATGCAAAGGATGCTAGGGATGTCTGTACTCTTGTTAATAATTAACATTAATAATTAACATATGCAGGTGTGTAATATTTTAAATTAAAAATCGCGTCCAAGGTTTGTGAGACCTCTTAGAGCTGCACACTAAGTGCTCGATAGAGTGGTTGGAAGAGAAGGTGATGTGTTGCGTGCAGCGCATTTGTCTTCTTCTTTTTATAAACAACTTGGGCAAAATGATGTCGTTTTGGCTCAAGAAAATTGGTCATGCCTTAAAGAAATTTAAAATACCCAGCATATCCTCCCCAAACCCACCACCCGATACTTTACTTCCAAAACTCCCTTTTTTTTTGTTTTCTCCTCCAACCCTAAGTTTCCAACTCAATCTCCCCCCAAACCCTCAACCCCATCTCCTCCCTTGCTGCCACCGTCGAGGTTCTGTTGTCGTCACCGTGTAGTGGTGCCGCCATCTACTTGTTTTGTTTTTACCTCACTGTTATTGTGACAATCAAGTTCGAGGGTGGTCTAGGTGCGAACGGCAATGAGGATTCGAGATGGTTACGGAATTTACAATGCATGTGGTGTTGGCGTGAATGTCCTTGATTTTTAAAACTTTTATTCCATTATTAATTTAATGTTTTTATTAATATATTTAACAAAATTTGAACGGAAGGACCACATTGACTAACATAAACAAACACATGGATCAAATTACTCAAATTGATAACACGGGGACTAAATTAACCAATAAGGTAAAATAGAGGGACCATTTTGATATTTAAGCCTTTACACTGAGACCCCTTGATAAGGTTCATGGCTCCCATAGTCAATCAAAACATGTTTTTTCCTACCAAATTGCCAATTATGCAAAGCATCATATCTTCTCTCTCTCTCTCTCTCTCTCTCTCTCTCTCTCTCTCTCTCTCTCTCTCTCCTCTCTCTCTCTCTCTCTCTCTCTCTCTCTTTGTTTTTGTTTTTGTTTTTGTTTTTGTTTTTTTTACTGTTTGAGGTAATGGAATAGGTGTATTATTATGCATACACTAAGCCCCCGTTTGGTTCACGAAACGAATTTGAGGGGAAATCATTTCCCATGTCATTTCCCAAGGGATGGGAAATGGAAGATTCATTTCCTACGTTTGGTAATGCTGGGAAAGTAACCGAGAGATATCACTTTATTTCATTTCCCATGTTTGTTTTGAGTAGGAATGTAAAACAAAGTTTGTATAAATTTTCAATTATACTCATATTAAATCAAATTAAAAAAATGCATTTAATGATATATTGTAATTCTAAATTGTTAATGGGGACAAAATGGTTATGAAAAATGTGTATTTAATGTTGGTTCATTTTCTAAACTTTCCCATGATGAGGGAAAACAAAAGGGAGTTTCACTAAAACACCCAAAATGGGGGCTGAAATTATAAAAAAACCCAACACCCAAAACACTTTATAAACACACCCAAAACTCATCATTACACACACTCAAAACCCATTTATAAACACACCCAAAAAATATACAATTGTTGATTTTGGAGTTGATTTTGGGTGTGTTTCTATGTTTAAATAGTGTTTGAGTTTTTTTTATAAATACATGTCTAGGATTGAGTTTATTTATAAATTTGTAAAAACAAAACTCAAGTTGGGAGGATAGCTTCAATTTCTTACTATCTCATGGGCCAAACAATGATTTCCCATATCTGGACTTACCAAACATGGGAAAGTAATTGATTTCCCATTTTCTCATGAACCAAACGGGCCTAAGGAACAGTGCAAAATAGTAAAAGTAAAAAAAACAAAACAAAACCATCAATGAATATAAACCCTAATGCATATGCTTTGGTTCTAGTTGCCCCACCGCGTGGCTTCTCTTTGTAATTTTATTTTTTCGTATTAAAATACTTTAAAATGTCTCTTTTCAAAACAACGTCTTTTGCAAACCATCAAATTAATTAGTGTTCGCTGCTTAATTTCTTCTTCTTTAACTTCGAAATGCAAGTACAATGTTTTGGGCCAGCCAGCATACACTATAAAACAAGGACCCTTGAGTATCATTTCTGCAACCCAAAAGAAAAAAACAAAAGAGTACCAATTCTGCATTAAGTTCAGCCACATGGCTCTCTCTCCCCTACCTCCAACTGCCACCATATTCACTGGCCTTCGCTCCACCACCACCACCACCACTTCTCTCCCCAAACACCTTCACCGCCCCAAAACTTCTACGAGAAGATCATGGGGGAGTTCATCGGGGACCCCACCTTCTCTCTACCCTTCTGGATGGAGATTTTCATCGAGTTCTTGTTCTATGACAAGAAGAAGAATCTGGTGAGCGTCAAGGTTCGAGACTCGCTGAACACCATGACAAAGTCGATATTCGGTGGCTGACGTCGAACAAGAGAAAGGCGACGGTTTCCTCTGCTGATCTGTTCCCGGGGACGCTCATCGACACAATCAGAGTTGAGGTGGCCAGGCCGTCAACGACGAAGAGGATGACGGCGGAGAAGGCGGCGCAGTATGCGGTGCTGGTGATCAAAGAGATTGAGTTTACCGGGAACGAGATGGTGAAGTTCTACGTGGTATGTGAATGATGATGCTGAGTCGCTGGGAGGGAAGGACAAGTCGGAGTTTGCGGGGAGTTTCATCCACTTGACGCATAATCAGAAGAATGATATAAAGACGAATCTGATGCTGAGTATAAAGAAGCTGTTGGAGGAATTGGATGCTGAAACGAACGGTAGCGGTGGTGAATTTGGTGCCGAAAGTTGGGAAAGGACAATCACCGTCGGTGGCTTCAGCATTGAGCTTATTTACCGAAAGGTGGTAGTAATAAGCTCAATGCCTGAAGCCACCAATGGTGATTGTCCCTTTCCCAACTTTCGGCACCAAATTCACCACCGCTACCTTCCGTTTCAGCATCTAATTCCTCCAACAGCTTCGTTATGCTTAGCATCAGATTCGTCTTTATATCTGTCTTCTCCTTATGCGGCAAGTCGATGAAACTCCCCGCAAACTCCGATTTGTCCTTCCCGGCCAGCGACTCAGCATCATCATTCAGATACCACGTCGAATTAGGCTGGGGAAAGGACTTGAGAGGATTCAAAGACTGTGGCGTGGATATACTGGTATTGTTGATCAAAAACAAAAAATCCTTTTGAGATGATTCCAAGGAGTAGTTGGCAAAACAGAGGACTTTGAATGATGTACATTTAAAACATATACCAGAAAGAGTGATTCCTCTATTGAAAGAAGCTCTGGCTTTGAGATCATGAGTATTACTACTTTGCTCTTCAGATCAGAGACACCTAGCTATTAACAAATCCAAGTGAGATTGTAAACCAGTAGAACTTACATTTGTAAAAAGGGTCAAAACTAGTTTCAATTTTGGCACTCTAGATATGTAGTTCTGCCGAAAATAAGGGGATCAGACGAGGTAATACTTACTAATGGTAAATTAAGCTGTTCTAATTTTTAATATCATATTAGTTGTACCATGGCTAAGCGGAGTAAGTAGCACAATTGGTACTTTTGCATCCCAATTTCTTAATTGTTTTATGTTTGATGCATCTAGTACTTGGAATATTTACAAGATACCCACTGATCAGGATAGGATATTTAAACATGCCTTTGCTTGTGAGGATCAATCCTTGAGTGGCAAGTCATCCCTCAAGGCAAACAACAAGCGAATAACCTCTTGGTTGTTCACTTGGGTCTCCTTGAAGATATCCAACAGCTTCTGATATAGCTTTGTCTCTCCAAGTTATGCCAAAAATGTCATGGTAAATGGCAAGTGCCGCAAGAGTTTGCTCAATCCATAGATAAACATGACCAGTAACCTGTTTGTTGATGGCACACTTCCACCTGCTGTCTGAGGTCACTGTAAATGCTGCGCAGCTGATACACCAAACTTAAGAGCTCCCATGATACAATTTTTGTTGAATCTGAATACTTCAATAAGAAATAATTCCTTCATCAGTATAACAGTTTAAGTCAAATTCATTTGGCAGATGTTAAGTATATATCAGCATTTCAGGTAGCGTAAGTTGGAACACAAATTAAAGCAGTTAAACAAAGTAAATCTTGTAAACAATATTTAGTCAGAAGTTCAGCATATTTTAATTGGCTGATCAAAGGGAAGGAACATGAACCTGCTCAGATTTCATGGCTGTTGAATCTGTGATTTGAGAAGAGCATATCAAGATGACTCTAATGATCCAGTAAACAGCTACATAGATTTGAGATTTTGTAATAGCTTTTGTCTAATCATCCAACTCCTCATGTGAAAGCGGCAGTTTCTCAAACTTGATGATACACTTGGTTACAGCCACCATTGCATTGACTAACAAACTCAAGGCCTTAAATTGAGGCTTTAAAGGACTCGAATCAGCAGGCAATTGCTTGAGCATTGCGACTGATATTGAGGGGCTACTAGAGTACAGCTGCATTAGGAGCCTAAATTCGCCAAAACTTGCTACGAAAGATGCAAGTACTAATGCCACTTTTGAACCCCACTTATAATTTCCAAGCAAATCAAACAAAAGCATTGTCCTTGTGTGTAGATTTCCTTCATCGCAGCACTTGCAAAGTATCTGTCATGTTAACAAATAGATCGAATTAACTGGTATCTTCCTGATGAATAAGAGAAAAATTGAGATGGAAGTTGAATTACCTCGTGTGAAATTTTACAGAAGGTCTGTCCAAGAGGCTCTTGTGATCCAAATTCCATGTTGCATACATGAGTTTTTTCAGTGGAAAAGTAAGTGTTGGATGAGATGAAAAGCTTGGGATGGGAGGTCATGATGTTAATTACAAGTGGTCTACAGTTCATACATTTTTTAATTATAAAGAACACTAAAATGCAAGCGCAGTGCAGATATATGGCTAACTGGATTATGATTAGAACGGATAAAACAAGTTGATTAAAAAAAAATAACAGATTAAAAAGTCATGACCTGCTATATAGTGTGAGTGATGAACTAGGACACTAGAAGGTGAAACCAGCAATACCGTTCTCCTTAAAATCCATTGATTTCTATTTTGTTGTGAAACATATGCAGCATATCCCATATCATATCATTCTATTTTGTTCTGAAACATGAAAGGAAAACGTAAAAAAAAAGCTGAGAGTGACAATGTGTTAGAAATGAGCAATTGCTTGGGATGTGGTAGTACAAAGCATGATGTCCTCCACTGCACAGAGCAACAGCTCAGAATCAAGATGACGGCCACTGGGATCGTGGCTAAGGAGTAGCTTCTTAATTAGAACTTCTTGTGATAAAGATGATACGGAATGTGGCAAGAAGGTGTCACTTCCAACCGAAAGTGGATCATCAGGACAGTAAGAAATGTGATTAGTGAAGTACTAGCTGTGTCTGGAAACAGCATCTCAGAAAGAAAAGGGCCTTCAGCCTTCTAGCTTTTTGGTGCCAAGGGAGTGAAAAACAAGCCCAATGTGTGCCCTGTAATTTAATAAATATTGTAACTCCCGATCAATTATTCTTCAAATGGAGACAATTTTTCGGTGGTCTGGAGAAACCCCCCCAAGTATGGTAAGTTACTATAATCTAAATATTCCTTCTGCATTATATATTGCAATATATTATGTTTGCAAATGTGTGGTCCTCTTGTTGACAATGAAGTTTTGGCTTTAAGGTTGAAAAAAATGTAAGTCGGAGTATTTATTATTGTCTGTGGTCCCATTTCTGTCGGTTTGTCATGGAAGTGATTTCACACTTGCACGTGTCTGCACTTACTTTGTCCTCATTGGCATGGAAATTGTTTGTGAGCATACCTTTGTGCAATTTGGTAGATAAAGAAGAGTTGTGTACTCTTGAACTCCACCACTTTGGTATGTTGGAGAATGGCATGTATAAGGGAGGCAAAGTATGCTATGTTGACAACTGTATTCATGACTATCTGTCATTGTTGGATTTAAAGAAAATTGGGATAGATCTTGGATACAAAGTTGATATAACACAAAGGGTTACAAACTTTAAAGTTTACTATAAGGGGCCTGCAAAAAGTGGTCAGCATGTTGTGAATGAGGTTGTAAATGATAGTTGTATTTCGGGGTTGGTTGGGAGCATTTCATCAAATCAGGTATTGGTGTTGTATTACCATGATCCTACTCATAACAATGAGCTAGAGAGTGAAGATAAAGAGCAACAACAGCATAGTGAAGATGTTGGCAATGAAGATGAAGAGGAAGAGGAAGAGGAGGAAAAAGAGGATGTTATTGTTGACAATGATTATGAATTAAGTGAATAAGAAGAAAATGGTAATAAAGAGGCTACATCAAGAGCACAACCAAGGAACGATGCACCAAATGTTGAATATGCACAATGTTTTAAAGAGATGAATGAAATACCTCTTAATGAAGTTACAGGGGAGATATCAGACGATGATGAAGATAGTGATCGACTTCCTTCTGATGGTGATAGCTCTGGTGGTGAGGAAGATGGTCAAAAAAAGACAAGCAAGAAGAAATAGAAGAGGCCAAATTTTAAATAGTTTAGGAAATAAACTTATTTGAGAAATCCAGAGTTTAGAATTGGAATGCAATTTGACAATAAAGATGAACTCAAGGAAGCTATAAGGGAGTATGCAATTGTGCAAGGGAGGAATGCTAAATTGGTGAAGAATGATAATAAAAGGATTCAAGCAAAGTGTGTAGGTCACACGAAATGCCCTTTTATTTTGTTTGCTTCCAAGATAGATAAAGATGAGCAAACATTTACCATAAAAACTCTCTCCTTAGAGCATGAGTGTACTAGAGTGGACAAACTGAAATATACTAATTCAAGGTGGCTGTCAAAAAGGTTTGCTGACAAGATTAGGAAAAATCCTGAGTGGGATGTAGGGGCATTCCAATCTGAGGTATTAGAGGTATTAGAAAAGTACCATATGAATGTTTCAAGGCATCAAATTTATAGAGCAAAGGGCTTGTCCAATGTGATCATTGAAGGTAGCTATGTGGAGCAATATGCGAGGCTATGGGACTATGCAGAAGAATTGAAGAAGGCTAACAAGGGCAGCACTATGATTATAAAGAATAAGATGAAGGGTAATGTACCTGTGTTTGAAAGAATTTATGTATGTTTGGAAGCTTGTAAGAGGGGATTTTTGGCAGGATGTAGACCTCTCATTAGTATAGATGGATGTCATTTAAAGGGATCTTGCACATGGCAAGTTTTAATAGCCGTTGGTGTTTATGGGAATAATGGAATGTACCCAGTTGCTTATGTTGTTGTAGAGGTGGAATCAAAAAGTAGTTGGATTTGGTTCCTTGAACTTTTGATTGAAGACTTAAAAATTGAGAATGGGAAAACTTGGGTGTTTATGAGTGACAAGCAAAAAGGTCTACTACCTACAATTGAGACATTACTTCCAACAGCTGAGCACAGAATGTGTGTTAGGCATCTCTGCAGCAACTTTAGGACAGAGCATCCTGGCCTTGCACTGAAAAACATTCTCTGGGCTTCGGCAAGAGCAACTACCATTCCATGGTATGAAGCAGAAATGGACAAAATGAAATAGCAAGATGAAGAGGCATGGAAGTGGGTTATGAAAAGACCAGCCAAAAATAGGAGTAGATCTCATTTTGAGCCACATTCTAAGTGTGATATGTTGTTGAACAACCTCTATGAATCTTTTAACTCTTGCATTTTAGATTCAAGGGACAAGTCCATCTTAACATGTCTAGAAAGAATTAGAAGTTATATCATGTTAAGGATGGCCAATAGAAGGATTGCTGGTATGGTTTGGAGACATCCAGTTAGGCCTAGGATTGTCAAGATCATTAAGAAGAACAAGTTGGGAGCTAGTCAATGCATTCCTAGATTAGCAGGTGAGAGCAAATACCAAGTGAGCCATATGTATGGGGAAGAGTATGTAGTGGATCTAAAAGCCAAGACTTGCTCTTGTAGAAGATGGGATTTGTGTGGGATCCCATGTTCTCATGTTATTTCTTGTATCTTTCAAAAGGAGGCAAATGTGTTTGACTATGCAAATGACTACTATAAGAAAGAAGCTTACCTGAGTTCATATGAACCTATGGTACACCCAATACCATCCATGGACCAGTGGTAGAGAACTAATTGGCCTTCAATTAAACCTCCTCCATATAAGAAGCAGCCTGGAAGACCCAAGAAATCAAGGAACAAAGAATCAGCTGATGTTGAAGTACCTGCTCCAGTTCCTCCAAATCATTTGTCCCCATTTTACAATCCACCACATACTAAGTTGAGAAGGATTTATGTCAAGATAAGATGCTCTATTTGTGGCCAGGAGGGACATAATAAGACACGGCATGCCAACCAAGGGGCAGCACAGGTATTTTGATTATATTTTCTGTAGTTTAATTTCCTTTTGTTATTATTTACTTTAATTAGTTTTTTGTTTTTGTTTTTTGTAGGCCCTTCCTAATCAGCCCAACCAAGGAACAATTGGCTCTTCTACAGTCCAAGGGGCAGCTCAGGTATTTTAGTTCAAATCTCTTTAGTTTAATTCTTTTTTGGTCTTGAGGCCCAACCAGTTCATATGACCCCTTTTTTGTTATTGTTTAGTTTATTTTTGTTTAATTTTGTTTTTTAGGCCCAACCTAATCAGCCCAGCCCAACTAGAGGCAGAGGGAGAGGTAGAGGAACTACTACAGGAAGAAGAAGATGATATGGGAGAGGAGAAATGCCAAATGGAAGAGGAAATGTAAGTGACAACTCTGTCATGCTACTTTGGTTGGTTAAGTCGGTCAGAAATTTAATTCATGTACTTTAGTTAGTTAATATGGTTCCATTTTATTTTAGGTTGGAAATGGGACAACAGAAATGCCAAACAAGCCATCTTCATCACAACCACTCCCATCATCATCATAGCCACTCTCTTACACTGGAGCTCATCATCATCATCACAACCACCCAAGTCTCCTGCCAAGAAGCTTAGACCAAAGATGTTTTGAAGGCTAACTAGGATGATGTCTGTTGGATGTCTTTTTTGAAGTAGTTAGATGTGTTTTATGAATGGTTTGTTGGATGTGTTTTTTGAGTTTCTGGGCTGGAACTTACTGTGGTTGTTTTGTATTTGGTACATTTTAGAACTGAACTGAGAAACTACTTCATCTATCTTTATGCTTCTGTTTCACTTGGAACCTGATTTGGTACATTTTGGAACATGTAACTGGGTGTTATATATGCTGATTTGGTACATTTCTGGTGTTATATATGCTGATTTGGTACATTTTGGAACTGATACATTTGGTACATGCCCTCTCATCAACAAAATGGAAACAAAATGAATACACCAACACCAATATGTCCACCAAATTCGAACTCAAATTTCATTGCAAAATGAACTACATATCGATTACATTTCGACCTAATTGATCATAAGCTTTTCATAGTTTCCACCCGGAAATGTCAACCAATTGCTCAAGATACAGAGCATCATCATAATCACCAAAAACCTAATACCCAATGACAGAAATGAAACCCCCCACATTTGATTCTCTCTTAGTCATTGGCCTATTCTTTTCTCTTCCAACAGTCTTTTCTGCTTGCCTAATTCTCCAACTTTGTACTCTAATTCCTTCTTTTCTCTCTCCTCCATTTTCAGCTTACCTTCCACTTCTTTCTTCTGTTCTTCTATTAACTTTAGGTTCTCTTCCATTGCTCTCATTCTTCTCACCAACCCAAGAATTAGTTCTTTTCCTCTTGCACAAGTGAGTGCGTCCAGCCACTCCCAATGATGCTCATTTCCTCTGTTTCTCTGCAAAGTACGTTTCATAACATCAAAGCTAAACCCATCAAGCAACAAAATAAAATTTTACAGATTAACTTACTCGACTCATCTCACATGCCTCAAATCTTCTCCGAGGATTTAAATCAGTCCATGAAGTCTAGGTTTTGATATATCCACCGCACCTGCATAGCATCCATGCACTAGGGCTCTGATTTGTTAATGAAGAAGAAATCTGCGACATTTTTGCGCATGCACTATGTGGGCTTCCCAGATTTCCTTCTAATTTCCAAAATTTCAACACATCTACTGTTTTTATGTGGATTTCTTTGAATATAAATGGGAATTGGGGATTTATTTGGCACTAGATTTGACATTTTTTGGAGGGAAGTTACTTTAGATGGGAGGTTGGACGTTGTAGACTTGAAAAGATAAATTTGCCCATGAAATTGACACCATGTTAGCCAGACTTGACGAAAGGACTACTGGCGCAACGAAACACATAATTGAGTAACCTCTGCAACTAATAATTGAGTTCAGTGACCCAAATGCAACTACGGGTATAGTTGAGGGACCATTGCTGCAAAAAACCTTTTTTTGCAGGAATTTCATTGTGTTGTGCAGCAGTATTAGGATCAGTTTGATACTTTTGAAATGGAAGGAAACAGGGGTCATACACACACAGTTGATTTATAAGATAAATGCAAAAGTTCACAATTAATTGTTCTTGTGGGAAAAACAATGATGACTTGTTTATATAAAAAGAATACTCTACCCTGAGTTCAGTTGCATCCTTTCTCATAAGGTTTTATTTTCTCAGCATTATTTTGCGGCAATTGCATTTCTTTGATTGTTGATATGTGTGAATGGATCAATATCTCTATTCTCTAGTATATGATAGTTTGTGGGGTGATTAGAGTTGGTTATCAATAACATTGGGCCCATCTAACCTTCAATCCAGCTGCATGTGAATCAATCTATTTTCCTATCTCTATTTGGAGACCACGTCGTTTCACTTTGAAAAATCTACTGGACTTCTCACATCATTGAAGGAAAAAAATTATAATAACTCTTGGACTTGCACACGATAATGGCTTCATCTTTGGAGCAAACTCATTAAGGAATTATTTACAAAGAATGTTTTCACGCAAGCTCCATATCATCACATTTTAGATACCTTTGGCCTTTGTTTATAAGTGATCCGTGTGTGCCTCTGAGATCTTGTTCACCAAAAGTAAAATTTGCTTACGCAGGAACGCTTTGCAACTAAATACAAAATACCTCCAGCCTATAGCATAACCAACAGAAGACAAGGAAAGCGGAAAATACAATTGAGTTTTCTCATACAAACAAAAATCACAAGCTTGCCTCCTTGAACTCCAAAATCAATACAGGAGGACCCGATCTTGTCGGTCCCCAACTAGCAGGGTTTCCAACACATGCCCTAATCACATAAAAGAAATCAGATAATGACTTTAGTACAATTTTCAGTGGGATGTTTAGGAACATTGTAACATCAAGTAATTCCCTGATGACACTCTTTTGAGATCTTACTCACTCTTCCTAAGTTAGCATTGCAAATTTTCGGTGCAATAGCACTAATAGGCATGCTCAACTAAAATCGGTATTTCGTCAACAGTATTACTTCTAGAAAAGTGCATACAAGAACTGTTGTTAATAACACAACATTTCTAGAAATATACATCTACAGTTGGGGATCTTCTCCATCTCTAACATAGGCAAAACGCGCTCCGATGCTTAAGTGTGCAAAATATGGGCAAAAGGTAATTTTGGTAGAGTATGGTACATATTAGGATTAGTTCCCTTTTTAGCTTAGCACCATTCCTTTTTGTTTATACCATATTTGACCAAGCAACTCTAAGTAAGGCAAAGAGTCCCATATCGGAATATTACAAGAAGTGAAGACTCCCCATCACCTATAAAAGGAGACCACTCTCCACTTAGGGAGGGATCCTGGGCTAGGCTTGATATTTAGTCATGGGCTCCTCCCTTCTTATCTTTATATTTGGGTCCAACCCCATGTACAAATGTAAACACACATTATTATATTTAGTCATGGGCTCCTCCCCTCCTATCTTGTCTTCTGTATAGTTATCGCTTGCCTAAATCCTCACACACTTGGTGAAGGTCCTCACCTTCACCCATCATCCATCATACATTATCACTAAGTTGAGCCCAAAAGTGCCAAATCACTTTTTGCATCAACAAAACCACGTATGTCTTGTCTTCTGTATAGTTATCGCTTGCCTAAATCCTCACACACTTGGTGAAGGTCCTCACATTCACCCATCACCCATCATCCATCATTCCTTATCACTACGTTGAGCCCAAAAGTGCCGAACCACTTTTTTGCATCAACACTTTTTTATAGGCAAAATGGATTGGGTGTTTGCACAAAGTTTTGATATAGGACTTTGGGTAAATTGTTGTGGTGATGACACGTGTCTCGGGATTAGGTTCGGATAACTTAGTCTTCGGTAAGAGCCTTCGGTAGGTTAGTGTCAAACCGGAATGGAAAGTCCCTTTGGTACCCTTGGTTATGATGACGTCATCAATGCCCTGAGTAGGCGGTCTTTCCCAAGTATCTCACCTTCGACAGTTTGTGGGTTTGACTTGTGAACTAGTTCTCCAGTGCCAAATGTGCGAGGTTGATTATGGTACAAACATACAACATCATATAAGAGACTTTTCAAGCTCAAAAAACCTTCCACGCTCTCCACCAAACCTCACAACACTCTAATGATTAAGCAAAACAAAGCAGGGAAAGCAACAAGAATAGTGAAAGAACCACAAAACTAATTACACATTTTTAGGAAGTAGGTCTGCTTAATTAAACTATGAATAATACAATTTAAACCACAAATACTACATTAAAGATATATGATTCTCATTTTTAACTAAACCACACATTAAACTATGAATAATACGATTTATTATACCACACATACAACATCTCTAACTAAGGTGGGATCCACTCTTGTATATGATTGTAAAGAAATGATTTGTACATATAAATTCAATAACTTTAACTCTCCAATTAAATAAATAAAAATTTGTTACCTAATAACCTTTAATTACCCAATACTTTTAGATATATATAAACATATAATTACATTATAACCTTTAATTTAGCAAATTTCTTCTCAAAATATAAAACTTTATGCAATACGTATACAACGATTAAGCAGATTGCTAATCATAAATAGTAGTAAATAGTAGTAACCATTAAATGTAAAACGTGTTTTTGCCCTGTCAATTATGCAAAGCATCATATCTTCTCTCTCCTTTTGTTTTTGTTTTTTACATGCCACTAGTTATTTGTGTCGTGTTGGCCCGTTTTATTTAAATCCATGCTACTAAGTTATTTATGTCATGTGTTCGACTCAAAATCCGAGTCCACATTGAAACGAGTCGTGCTCAAGTCGTCCCATTTAACTTAATTTTATTTATTTTTACTTAATTTCTTTTTCAACTTACGTTAAGCTTTTTTTAAATATTATTTTTTTAAACATTAGTGCAATGTCGGGCCAAAAACAGGCTCCAAACACAGTCACTACCCCAAACCCCAAACAATGCCTTAAGGACAGAGTCCAGTGCAAAGTAAAAAACAGTGGCAATGATCATTTGGAGCAGGGTCTAGCGAGACTCAATGAGACGAACTTGCTCATTGCTCTAGGAGCCATGCTTCTATACGGCGCGAATGGTTTAGAAACCAACCTAGTACAACCCACCAATAATCGTGGTTGGGCCTTGTCGTGCCCTATTTAGAAACCAACCTAGCGCGCCCCAAGATGTTGCCAAGGACCATGTTTACTAGGCTAAATACAAAAATGTCATCACACTCATACATGTCCTACTCGACGACGATCCGCGAAGGATGGCCCAATAGGCCGAAATCCACTGCTCCTACTGCGATGGCAATACCCGCAAGTCGTGTCGGATATGAAGATCCAAGTCCACTCTTGCCTAGAGGTGTTAAACTGGTCGTGTCGGCCGACTAATTTATTAATGTCGTGCCACGTCGTCCCATATAATTAACTGGGTCATGCAATGTTGGCCCTTTTATTAAAATCATTAATCATGACCTAGCTGAAAGTCCAAGTCCACATTGAAACGAGTTGTGCTTGGGAACATGCCTGAGTCTAAGCATGAGCCCATTTAACTTTATTTTTTTTTTCAACTTATGTTAAACATATTAAATTAACATTAGAAGATAAACAATTGCAAAGAGGTGAAGGACACCATGCTCAGGCCCTGCATTATTATGCATACACTACGAGTTGATAAACAAGGAACAATGAAGAAGATTAAAAGTTATAAAATAAAAAAAAATATAAAATAAAACTATCAACAAATATACTTTAGAATGTCTCTTTTCAAAAAAAAAACTTCTTTTGCAATGCAAGAATTAATTACTCATACAATGTGTGGGCACACTAATATCCTTTATAAAAGAAGCACACTTGAGTGTCATTTATGCATTTTTGACCAAAAAAAATAGATTATCATTTTTGCATTAAGGTTCCGCCATGGGTTCCTCTCCCCTACTTCCAACTGCCACCACAACTTCTTTATCTTCCTTCCTTTCAAAAAATCCCCAAACACCTTCACTGCCTTGAAACCCCAAACAATGCCTTACGTGCAGAGTTTGATACAAAGCAAAAAACGGTGGCGATGATCACCTGGAGCATAGTCTAATTGGCCAAATACAAAAACATTATGACACTCATACATGTCATACTTAATGACGATCCGTGAAGCCTAGCCCAACAACCAAAGTCCACTACTCCTACTGTGATGATGAGTAACAACAAGTCGGGTTGGATATAGAAATCCAAGTCTACTCCTGCGATGGAGAGTATGCACAAGGTTTACGACCCAATATGTAAGTATGTAAGGACGCCAGGCTCGAGAAGATTATAGGGGAGCTCATCAGGGACCCCACTCACTCTTTACCCTTTCGGAACTAGGATGCGCAAGCTGGTATGTACATTCCGGTGATTTTCACTATTACCACTTCCTCCCTCTACGATAAGTTCCAAAATGCAGTGCGTCAGGCCCCGAAGCTCCTGGATCTCAATTATAGTAGGA